ATAAATGCGCCCCTGTTTTCTAGGGCTCATTGCATATGCTTACTTTCCATATATAGCACATACATGGAAAGCACTAGCAATATTCTTATACTTCTCTCTACTTTGTATAAAAAACATATATCGAATAATTTATAAAAGAATAAATTTTTCTGTATTTTCCGATCAATCATAAAGTTATTATAAAATGCAATTACGTCAACGTCAAATTGCTACGCTAACTGCTCACTCATAAAGATATGAGCCGGGACATTAAATCCGATGCAAGACATTTTTTCATTTCTGTCCGTGAAAAAATAAAAGACACACGGACAGAATATTAAAAATATTTTATTTTAATATTCAGAAACAAAATACTAGTCATATAGGCTTAGATAGCGGGGAATGACAAAAAAAAAAATGATTTTATTATATTCAGCTCAATAAAATTTTTTTTCCAAATCAAAATATCGTAAAAAAAAGAACAAAAAATATAAATTAAAATGAACCTACTGCGGTACCTAGCCATAGATATAGGCAATAGATTCATAAAAATTTAAGAAACCTTTCATTTCAATCAATTTCAATTTACAGAATCAATTCTCCTTTTCCATCAATCTCTTCCATATTTTAAGGTGATTTACGAAAAGAAAATATTAAATTTCCAATTGGAAAATTTATTTTATTTTTTCTCATTTTTCCTCTATATTTTTTCTGATAAGAAAATGGCAACATAAAAACAAAAACTTTATTAAACAAATGAAAAAAAAAAAAATTTTACCGCAACCATACAATAATAAAAAATTAAAAAAACAAAATGCAGTAGGTACGAAATAATTCAATAAAATTGAGTAAAAATGTACCAAGCTAGGTAGATATTTAAAGTCCTTGAAGATTTGAACGGTTAAAAACAATAATATGGAAAAAGGAAGAAGGAATGGGGACAATTTTTCCCCCCATCTTTGTACCAAAACAAAAAGCCTCGTTTATTTTTCGACAATTTGTTAATTTTTATTGTTTTATTCGATCTGAATTTGCTTTTCTCTTACCCAAAAACATAAAGAGTAAAAAAATAATATTCTTAAAGAATAAGTGCTTTTTTATATGAGGGAAGAAAAAAAAAAACTTTTTCTACCTTCTCATTTCGCAAATAACGTAATTTGGGAAAAACGGGTAAAATTTTTTGTAACTAAACATAGAAAAAAATTTGAAATGAAATGAAAATTCGGTTATAAATTATTATTGCAAGTGATGATGAAAAGTTTAACAAGCAAACAAAGAGAACAGTAAAAAAAAAAGAAAAATAAATAAACATCATAAAAAAAGTAAGTAAATCGCGAAAATTGTTAAACGAAAAAAAAAATAGAAAGAGAAAAACAGAGAAAAAATGGAAAATTTTTTATTTTTCTTTGCAAATATTGTCAAAAACATAAAAATTCTGTAACCATATTTACAAAACTAGAATATTTGAGTGAGTGTTTTATGACTAATTGAATAATAGGATACGTTAGAGCTACCTGAAATGTCGTAAATAATTTTTGTTATAATTTAAAATTAAAAGAATCTAAATCTGAATGCAAAAGGAAATGGGTAATTCTGGAATAGCTATTATGATCGATTAATTAACCCGATATACTATTGCTCTCTCAATTTCAATTTTCGTTCAAATGGAAAAACTCCTACTATAGCTTTCGATTCGAAACAATAAAACTCTCAATTTAGATTCGATTTTTGAATATAATTCATTACCCTTTTACCAATTATAGAGCTAGAAATTTAATTAATATAATTTTCCATATAAAAGCAATTTGAGTTTTCAGATCTGTCCATGGTTAGTATTGTATTGATTCTTTCACAAACAGATTTTTCGTTATAATGACTTTAACAGCACCAGAAGTAAGGAAAGGGCTATTGGGTTCATAAAATAAAGGCAATTATTCAGGATGACTAGGAAGTCATTAATTAATATATAATTTATTAAAAACTTTTTAAATATAAAGGGTATTTCCCGTTTAAGAATAATTACTTGCAACTAATAACATGCCTACTAGGTATCGCTTGTGTCGTAAACGTAATAAACACCATATAATATGTTTTTTTCTTATAATATCAGAAACTATAACAGTTGAACACTATACACCAATATAAAAATCTCAAACTATAGTTTAATTTCAATTAAAAATAAAGCAAAGAGTAAAAGAATATTTCGTTCTTATACTCGTAGTTGTTATGAAAGTTTTTCAAAAAAAACTGTAAAAATCCTTTAATCACCTATAAGCTTTTACAATTTTGTATCAAACTTGTATTTATGTATTCCAATATTTATACATATATATTTATATTAATATAAAATACAATCTTACATATTTATTTTCAAATCAAATTCCTGTCTTCTTTTTTCTATTAAATAAAGTGACCAGCATAACTATTCAATATCTAGTGAAATATTAGATTTTTTTTTTAAATAACTTTCAGTTAAAAATTTTCAGTTTTGTCAGTACAGTTCATTTCGTCCGTCTGTACGTCGCATTAATCACATGCGTTCAGTTTGTACCGTCTTTCGTTTCCGTGCGACACCTTGTGCTTATTGTCTGTCCCATCTTGCATTTATTTCTATACCATTTATCTAAAATAATTTTATAAACAAAATGAGTCTCGATTAGAAATCCATTGCTAAAAGAAAACTTTTATTTTTCAAGTATCGCAAACGAAAAATATTTTGACTCTATTTTCCTTTTGAATGTAAAAGCATAAATATAAAAATTGCTGTATCGAAATTGGCACTGGCTTGCAACTTATTATTGAACATGTAAAAGTATGACAGAGGAAATCATTGCTTTTTGAAAACTGAGTGGAAACGTGGGAGATATATTGAAAGAGATATGGGATTTTTAAAATTGTAGGTACATTTTTTATTTTACAGCATGTTTTGCGTTGTTTAGAGTACGTCCGAAAATCCTTGTGAAGGGTGTCCTAAAATTCACGGAAAAAGTGATAGAAAACACAGATTTATAATTAAAAATTGTAAATTATTTATTGATTTATGTAGTATACAGTATAGGGTTATGTATGGAACAGCATATCGGGTAAATTGTCTCAACGACTTTGCTGGCACATACGCACACTCTTTATTGAAATTTTCTATGATTATTTTACATAAATATTGCTGAATTCCTTTGATAAAGCGCTCAATTTCCCTCTTAAAGGCGTGAGTGATCGTGGAATTATTGACATCAACCCTAGACTTCAAAATACTCCAAAGACTCACTTACTTTTTAATAGGGTAACATGTTATAGAATCGGAATCGATTTTATATATAAGCAAAAAATCTTCGAAAACTCCAAAAGAGGTATGTACATATTTTAATTAATTTTATATACAGTTTTCTATTCAAATGGTAACATTATTATTTCAAAACTGTTATATTGATTTAAAATCAAATTTAGATGGGTTTTAGACTATGTTGTATTGAAAAATTCAATATTTTAATAAAAATAAGGATGCCGATATTAAAGTATGTATGTATATGAGGTACCTGTGTTGTGTTATACAAAATATTAATGATATATGTATACAGTATAACATATTCTATGTCAAGTTTGGTAACGATGTAAATTAGTTTTCTTTTCGTTTTTTGTGTTTGATTTAAATCAAGAAAAAACACTTTATTAAAACTTTCTGCTTTGCTTTTCTTTTTTCGTTTTTCTTGTTTATTTTTTAACAATTTTTTATTTTATTCACTTTTGCCCCATACTTTTTTATAAAAATATTTTTCCATATTGAAAATGAAAAAAAATTTTCTTTTCGATTTTTCTTTGTGTGCTTTTTGTTTTTGATTCTATAAGTTTGCTAAAGCAATAATTTTACTTTTTTGCTCGTTTCTCTGGCGTATATACAAAAAAACATCGGTGTTCAGTTTCAATTACAAAAAAAAAAACTTTGATAAATTGTAAAAAAATAAAATAAAACAAAAGAGGAAAATAAAAAAGAGTTTTTTGGTAAAAATTGATAAGTGAGTATTGGGGTCTGACAAAGACAAAAAATTTTTTTGTTTTGGCAAGGATATTGAAAACTGAAATAATAAAATCAATACATAGGAAAGGATAAAGGAAAAAATATTGAAGAGACAAAGAAAAAAAAGAGAAAGTTTTAAACAATTTTGTTTTTTATTTTTCTCTTTCTCTTCTCTCTTTTTATTTTTAGCTTAATATTTTAGCAAAATAAGTGAGTAAGTGAAATAACTACCCACTTACTTACTTAACTATTCGTTTAATAACAATCATCGTAAAGCTTATTGATTTTCTGTTTTACTCTTATTTTTGTTCTTTTCGGTGGGTATTATCGATGAAAGGTAATGTAGCTACATAGGTATAACATATATAAAAAATTTTTGTAATAAATTGTAATGTTAAACTTTTTTCTAAAATTTTCTCTTTTATCTTTACGGCACTCTTTATATATATACAGTAGACGGGATGGGCATGTATAGAAATCTATGTTTGTATGTAGTTTATAGTGATTTTAATAAAAATTTGTTTTAAAAATTCTATTTTTATTTAAAATGTTTGATTAACATGACACTGTAGTTGATCTTTTCTTTTAAAAAAATTTATTTCAATTTAAGTAGTAACTAGAGTCAGTAGTGTTGACTATGATGGTGTAACTTTTGTACAAGTGTTACGTAAGTTTTATTGAAACATTGGTTAAAATTTAATAGTAAGTTAAGCCGAGATTCACTTTCGAAAGTAGCATGGAATCGTAAACATAAATACACGGATTGTAATAGAAATTGATAAGTTTTCAGGTCAATACCTTTTGGGTCTTTAAATATACAATATTGTAATACAAATAGTGTAAGAGTCTAAGAGAAATTTCAAGTTATCGAAATTTTAATTCCAGTTATAAATATTATAATGAAAATAATATAAAATTGAATACGAAATAAAATTAATTGAATTATAGACGAAAAATGAAAATTTCATTTACTTATACAGATTTATTTCAAGATAGTTCAGCGGTCTACTCTGGACAGTTTGGCGTGGAGATTTCCTTTCGTCTGCGGGATCACTGCAACGTCTTTCAGGCAGAGGTGGTTGCAATAGGTAAAGGTATTCTGTAAAGAAATCATTATCTTCACCGACAGCCAGGCAGCAATAAAGGTGTTGGATTCTGAAACATCTTCTTCTAGAACGGTCCGGAACTGCAAGTTCCTTCTCAACGAGTTGGCGGATCATTTCGAAATTAACCTGGTTTGGTTTCCAACACACAGCGGAATCCAAGGAAATTGTAGGGCAGATAAGCTCGCGAGGCATGGGATGACTCTTGGGGTTCTACCTGAAAAGGAGAAGCTTGGTATGTACAAGTTACATATTCAGTTATACAACCGGATAAAGTTGTAATTCTACCCGTTACTTCCACTTAATTTAAACAAACAATTTTTTTTCCTTTTAAAATATTTTTTTTATTCTTTCTACTAAATTAAATTCAAATTCTAAAATAAATAATCACATCAGCATTTTTACCTGTTATACTTTTGCGCGTGTAAAAATCATGCTATGTAAAAATGCTTAATTAACAAATTTCATTTAAACTACCTTACTATGTGATGTTTCTTATAATTATTAAGCTTTAATCAGTCGTTAGCCGTAAAAGTAAAAACATCAGTTATTTTATATATTATAGTAATTGTCATATATTACCTGTAAAAGAAAGAAAAGCTATCTTTGTAAGAAAATTAAATCGAATTAAATTGCCATATAAATTTTAAATTAAAAATAATAAATCATAAGAAAATCAAATTGAATAAAATTGTCATATAAGAAAATTGTGAATTATAAATAACAAATAATAAATTTAAATTGTTAAAATTAAAAATAATAAATCATAAGAAAATCAAATTGAATAAAATTGTCATATAAGAAAATTGTGAATTATAAATAATAAATAATAAATTTAAATTGTGAGAATTTAATTGTGAGAATTTTAAATAAAAAAAGATAAGAATAAAAATTCAAATAAATAAAATAAAGTTGTTTTAAATTCATAAACAAAATATAACTCTTTATTTATTTTTCCTTTAAAAAAAAAAAAAGAAAATATAAAACACAAAACTGGCGCAGTCGGTAGGATTGCCCAGCTAGTGTAAATTAATATTAATTATTAAAATAAAAAGAAAAATAACTAGTTTCAAGACTGTAACAGTTATCAAGGAATTTTAGTGCAAATTAGTGCTTAACACAAATTTCAAAACAGTGACAGTTATCAAGAAAACATTTTTCTGAAACATTAGCTTTCTTTTTAAAGAATTAATGGGTGAACCTAGAATAAAATAAATAAAAAAAAAAAAAAAAAAAAAAAAAAAAAAAATTTTTTTTATATAAAATAAAGGAAAAATATATTTTGTGCGAATAACAAAATAACAAAAATTTTAACAACAAATTTCAATTTTATTTTTAACAATATCACATAAAATCCTTAACAATAAATTATAAGTAAAATAAAAACAAAAAAAAACAAAAAAAAAAAAAAAAGAAAGGTAATTATGGCAAATACAATTACTATTCGCGATCTCATAACCGAAGCTAGATCGTTACCCAACTTCAAAGGTAACAGGGACTACGATCTCAGCTCATTTATAAGAGATGCAGAAACGTTTATAAACCTAGCACCGGATCAAGGATCAAAAGAATACATCATATCAATCATCACCAACAAGTTACAAGGACCGGCGGCTGATTCAATCAGAAAAATTAATACCACCACGGATTGGGATAGCATAAAACGGCAACTAAAAAGGACGTTTGGAGTCCAGGAAAGTTATTTAAAGCTTAAAGAAATGGCAGATTTAATCAAATATAACAATGTAAGTCAATTTTATATAGATCTAAATGAAATATTAAATAAACTAAATTTTAAATATAACCTTGATGATAATAAACCAATAGAATTTAGCCCGAGTAACAATGAGGCTAGTATTTTAGAAAAATTTTTAAATAAGTTACCGCGTTCAGATAGTATGTTTTTGCGAGCGAAAGACGTCACCACTTTAGATGACGCTTTTCATGAAATTTTACAAACTTTGGGTCCCAATCATTCCGGCTATTACAACCAAAATAACAATAACTCTAAAAGACAAAATAATCCTTCGAATAATAATCGTAACAATAACTATAACAACAATAACAACAACAGATCACATAATTTTAATAATAACAACAACTCGCGTAATTTTAATAATAATAACAACCCGCGTAATTTTAATAATAATAATAACAATCCGCGTAATTTTTATAATAATAATAATAATAATAACAGAAATTTTTCAAATTTTAACAGAAATAGTGGAAATTTTAGAAATTATAATGATAATTATAGTGCAAGGAATAGAAATTATAATAACAATAATACATCAAATAATCGTCCTTCCGAACCAATGGAAGTTGACGTAAACCACGGCGAGGATAACCAAGAAAATTTTCGGTTAGAGCCTCGCAATCAAATAATTTACCAATAGTAGAATTTACTATTGATAACACTAAAATTAATTGCTTAATAGATACGGGATCTACTACCTCTATAATTAATAAAAATATATTGCCTCATATTAAACCTAATAAATTAGAAAAACCAATTAAAATTAACACCTTATTTGGAAACAATAATATTTTGTTTGAAAAACTCACAAATGTTCCAATAGAATTTAACCATAGTGCGAAAATTCTTTGGAAAATTGTAAACATTAATAATAGGAACTTCGACGCTATCTTAGGGCAAAACATATTAAATGCGGTTGGTGCAAAAATAGACTTAGAGAATCAGGAAATAGAGATTAGGGGCAAAGTTACAAAATTTAAAAATGCTTGCCCATTTAGAGAAACACACGAACTATATTCAATAAATTTGAGTCCGAGTGAAATCTATAATCATATCAAGGACGAAAATTTGAATATAGAAGAGTGTAAAAACTTAAAAAATATTATATATGAAAATAGGGATTTGTTTTATCAGGAAGGTCAACAATTAACCTGTGTTGACTCTGTGAAGCATTCAATAATAACTAAACACTCCCGGCCGATATATTCCAAAATATATCGATTTCCAAAAATTCATGAATTTGAAGTAGAAAAACAAATAGCAGAAATGTTAGACCAAAATATTATAAAACATAGTAATTCACCTTATAACTCCCCAATTTGGGTAGTTCCCAAAAAAATTGATAGTTCAGGTAAAAGAAAATGGCGAATAGTCGTGGATTATAGAAAACTTAACGAAATCACTATCGACGATAAGTTCCCAATCCCTAACATCGATTCTCTTTTTGATAAACTTGGTCGAGCCCAATATTTTAGCACAATAGATCTTGCAAAGGGATTTCATCAAATACTCGTTGATGAAAATGACCAAGCAAAAACCGCGTTTTCGACCCCACAAGGTCACTACGAATTCATCAGGATGCCATTCGGGTTAAAGAATGCTCCTGCAACTTTTCAACGCATGATGAATCATGTGTTACGCGAATTCATTAATATATGTTGTGTCGTATATCTAGACGACATATTAATCTTTAGCACGTCCTTGCAGGAACATGTTGAAGCTATTTCAAAAATTTTCAATAAATTACGGGAACATAATTTAAAAATTCAAATCGATAAGTGTAGATTTTTTTTAAAAGAATCAGAATATCTTGGCCATTTGCTAACCGATAAAGGCATTAAACCGAATCCTTCCAAAATTAATGTAATAAAAAATTTGAAACTTCCAACCACGCGAAAAGCAATAAAAAGCTTCCTGGGAATTACGGGATATTACCGTAAATTCATTAAAGACTATGCCAAAATAGCACAACCGTTAACCCATTGCCTTAAGAAAAATAATAAAATAGATACCAATAATTTAAAATATATAGAAGCGTTTAACAAACTTAAGGACATAATTAGTAAGGACCCAATTTTAAAATATCCAAATTTCAACCAAAAATTTGTACTAACTACTGACGCAAGCCAATATGCAATTGGAGCTGTTTTATCACAAAATGGCCACCCAATTTCTTATGCCAGTAGAACGCTCAACGAACATGAGATAAGATATAGTACAATTGAAAAGGAATTGTTGGCAATAATTTGGTCAACTAAATATTTTCGACCATATCTTTATGGCATAAAATTTACTATTAGAACAGACCACAAACCTTTGGTCTGGTTACACTCTTTAAAAGAGCCTAGTTCCAAACTTCAGCGTTGGAAAATTAAACTCAACGAATTCGATTTTGACATCGAATATGTTAAAGGTAGAGGTAATAAGGTAGCAGATTTTTTAAGTAGATTAGATAATGAAAAAAATGAAATAAATGCTATGGAAATCGATAATAATAAAAATTTGGATAGAGAAAGTGAAATGGCTACAATTCATAGTGGCATCGAAAATTTGGATGACCACATTCCGATTGTAGACAACATTATTAATAAATATCTAACACAAATACATTTAGTAAAAAATAAAACAAAAGAAATTGAGATTAAATATAATAGATATAGGAAAATTTTCATAAGTGAAAAAGATTTATCAGATCAAAATTATTTAAATAATGTATTAAGACGTTATATCAAAACAGGCGTTACAGCCATATTTTCGGAATTAGAAGAAAGTAAATATGCAAAATTGCAAGAAAAATTGATAGAATTATTTAGTAACTGTAGAAAAATTAAATTTGTTAAATGCACCAAATTTGCCAAGGAAATTGATAGCGAAGAAGAAATCATTGAAATTATTAAGCAAAACCACGAAGATACAAACCATCGTGGCATATTAGAAAATTTTAACGAATTAAAAGATAAATACTATATTCCGAAACTTAAAGATTTTATATACAAATATATAAATAACTGTGATGCTTGCAATTTAGCCAAGTATGACAGAAATCCAATTCAGTATAAATTCGAAATATCCGAAAGTCCGTCTGAACCTAACGAGATCGTCCATGTTGATACCTTTTATATAAAAAAGGAAGTATTTCTAACAGCTATAGACAAAATGTCAAAACACCTTTCTATGATAAAGTTACCTGATCGAAACAGCGTAACAATAGTTCAAACACTAAAATTACGGAACTCACTATTCGGTAAACCCAAAAAATTCGTATTTGATAACGAATTTAACAGTATCAATTTAAAAGATTTCTGTAGAGTTGAAAATATCGCAATTCACTTCACTTCTCCAAGAAGTCATACCGGGAACT